TTGAGTCACTGAGTGAAGATGAGAAAGATTGCGTGATAACCACATCGGAAAACCTCTAGGCGATAGACTGAATGGTGAGATCCATATGCCAATCGGTTTGCTGATTCGATAAGGCAAAATATATTGGTGCTTTTCAACTAACAAAAACATTGGAAAAGCAACCAGGTGGTGTTGACAGGAGCCACAGACGAAACAGTACTGAACAACATCGACAGTAATAAACCAAGTAAACAACCATTCTGGGAGTCAAGGCTCTGCAGGCAAATTGTTTATAAATGATCGTGTCACTTATATGTGGAAAAATCGATATACGTGGTGAAAACGGAGGCTGCTGATATTCGTGGGGCATAATGAATTATGAGATACGGTTTGGGGAATACAATCTGCCGCGGTCCCCAAAGGTAATCCAGTGTGTTAAGACTGTCCGACAAAGATGTATTTCCGTACAAACGTAGCGCATCAAAACGCCAAGATACTGTCAAAGGAGTTTTACGGATTGGACTTGGGTAAGATTGATGTGAGGATTTATAATTGCGATTAGTTCAAGGTAATCGTAGAAAGTTCTCTTCCGGTGAGTCCAAAGCTGGCTTGCAAACTTGGTGTCCTTCCAAAACGGTTTAGGTGGAGTAGGCTGACTCATAGTAAAGAATTCAAAGTTTGAGCTCCGTCGCCAATGTTATGGCTTGGCCCGTGGGAAACTACAGCTCTCAGCAAAAATGCAGTATCCGGCTCGTAGCGCAAATCAGCAGAACACGTCAGTATCGGTAGTAGGCAAACACAACGCTTCGTAAATGTAAATCAGCCAAGCAAAAAGGTAGCAAGTGAACTTGGCTTACGCAGAGACGAGAAAGTGTGTGGATTTTTAACCTGCCAATAGCTTACATACGGCCAAATTCATTTCCTAGATAAGCAAGACTCTCCTGTTCTAACCGGGAAATTTTTCGCCTCGTGCGTAGCTGCAACCACGAGGCGTCTAAGCAGTCGTGTTAGGTCTAGTGAGATTTCTGAATTATGGCCATTACCGCCTGGAAGATGACCGAATTCAAAGACTTTGGATCATCGAATAACGCATTGTTGCTCCTCACTTCTCTTGCATTGTAAGTTTTGTACATGTGACCGATAGGCGAAATAAATCCGTATGGATCGGACCTAGTTGCAGTGGAAAGCCTAATGAATAGACTGACGCACAGGACTGCACGCTTCAGTATATGCTCTGTACCTTTAAAAGGGCAAATTATTGTTGTAAGACTGGGATGACACGCCATCAGTTCTCACTATCCCTGAGCAACTACGGTAAGATTTCGCGCAGCTTAACTATCTAGACAGCGGTACCAGCTCCGTGCCCGCGGGTGGCCGAATGGTCTGCATGCGGTTCTAACCCGCGTAGGGGTGGGCATCTTCGCGATATACTCAGCACACGTGCAACTGGTGGTGGTCGCGCGGCAGCAAAGCGCCGTTACAGCGTACACCTGACCGTTCATGCATCATCTACGCTAGTCACAACACGTAAGAGGATACTGCGCGATTTCTAAGACTCTAGATCACTTTAAAGTCCAAGCCTCTCATGAAGTCGGTGGAGTGGGAGTGTATTGGGAAGGGTTCAAAGCGACACGCGAGGTCAATTTTGATGTATGCAACGGAGATATGAACTTGTAGCATCACAGATGATTGTGAAGAATTGAAGTCCATCATCCAGCGTTAGGCAATTGACCCTCCGGCGCCTCAATGAAGTGTTTGTTGAACTGGGATCGCTAACTGGCTCCAGCATATGTTTCGTATACCTGCAAACCAGCTACCTCGGCGTGTACTTCTTTACCAATACAAAAGAGTTGGGTGAAATCCTTAACAATGCCCTAGAGAAGAAGACTATGACGACACTCCACCCAGAAAGAAGTTTACAACCTTTCCGAGTGAGATTCTGAGGATTGTCCACCTCAGTGGTCGGATGCGACCTGGACACCAGGAGAGCTGTGCGTTTTCATGTCTCAATCACGGACTACTAACTGTTCCCTCCGACGACATTAATTATGATTCACCTCTCTGAAGTTAGTAATAATAGTGTCGGTAGGTACAAATTCATCACATCCATTGCAGATCTAGTGAAAACACTGGACGGCCGTTTCATCATTACGTGAATTGTCAGCAGTGCGCATTTCATCTGGCCCCTGTGTGGCTAGAATCCGGAACTCGACTGTCGCCGGTCTGTGGTGAAGACCACTGGCTACGGGGAGATGGTAACGGTTAACATGACGAAATGATTTGGAATATTGATAGTTCGTGAGGCTTGTTCAGCTGTTGTGAGGTTCTCCGAGCTGGGCAAATTGATCGCAAACGTTTCGCCACCACTCGACGTGGTAGCAGGAGCTGGTAAAAAGCGAACCCCAATAATGAAAGTTGAAATTGTAGGTTTATTTAAATGTTTGCACAGTGGTATGCGAGCGAGGGTGCAGCTGAGTGGAAAGACCTCAGATGACTTTGCAGTTGTCTCTGGTGTGAAGCAAGGCTGTGTCTTGGCTCCTGCCCTGTTTCATATATATCTTCATGCAATGTTGTCCTGTGCTTTTTGATGCCGGCCTGATCCCTATAGTTTTAAGGCAGTGAAACATCAAGGTAACGGTTGTTGCCACAGTTATTGCTGATGATGATGTTGATATTTTCAGTTTTGGTATTTGAAACTTTATACGAATATGACAGTAATGTCCAACAAGACTCTGAAAGACTTCGTCACTTGACAACAACCGTACTACCATTTGAAACAACACAGAGCTGAACAAGTAACATTGTAAAAACACAGTTCTTGTAGAAATTGCAGAACAAACAACACACACTAAAGCAGGGGAAAAGAAAGTAGACACAGCTTCGGTCTAGTCAAATAGGAAGTTAGATGGCACTGCACCCCGCAATCCACCCGGGGGTTCTACAGGGACTGTGCAATGTGTGCTCGGTTATTGAACTAACTATACAGTCAACATAAGTGCCGTTGCAGTCGGAATCGTTACAGTCTCAAGCGGAGCGCAAAAAAGTAATCGGAGTTCTATGACCAACTGCCATTTGACAAGGTCGAACAATACTAGCGAACGTAGAAGAGCTAGACTCCGCATGGCTGTGTGCCTGTGTTGTTGCTAACTATACCATGACTGATTGCAATCTGGACGCTATACAACAAACTCTTAAAACGCTCATGCATGGTGATATCAGCTCACATGTGTAACATTGGTATCTAGGGATAATAGTGCGTAAGAAAGACACCCAAACACCTTAGAAGTTCCGCTGGATGAAGAATCTGGACAGAATCCTAAACACACAGAGACGAGAACAAGTGTTTATGACAGGTGAGCACAGAACACCAACTGTCACTAAACAGCGCTGCACTCAGGCATAACAGACATGGATATATGCGACAAGGATGTACCCCGGTACTTGGCCAGCGACTAACCCAAAGTGCCCATGTCGTTTCAGACGGTGCGATCCAAAACCTTGCCATCCATTCGCCTTCGAATGGAATATGCCCAAAGGGTAATATGCCACAGGTTTTATTTGAAATTGGCCGGGAAGCGTAGCAAATGCGGTAAGTATGGTGAGGTATCATAAGAGAGGTCATACGTTTTGGAATGTGACATGAAAGTACACGACACAAGAAGGAAGGCCCAATCAGAGATCCCATCATCTCAGTCCCGTTTCGCATTCTACCCATCTTTCATAATAAAGTGTCGTCAACACCTCAGATCAAGAGTATTTAGACTAAAATGGACTTCCAGGTGGCTTCAATGTGTTGCAAGTACATTCCGAAAGCATGATTCACGGGGGACACAGAACCGATGTTATAACTTCGGAAACGTCAAGCAGACATCGTAATATTATGGCCAGTCCGAAGTTGAAAACGTATACGCCTCACTGGAATGTCGAGTTCTCAAACTATACACTTGTTTGTCCTTAAATCCCCAAGCATGATTATGCGGGAACTCGACCTCGAATAGATGTGAAATTGCCTAGAAGGAGCTTGGTAATTTACATATTACTGTTAGTAGCACAAAAAATAAAGAAAATCGACAAACCAGGGGGACGGGTGAACGCCCAACAGCGTTGGCCAGCAGTCACGGTTGAGGCCGGCTGATTTCCAGAGATATCGAAGGGATTGAGCGATTGAAACAGTGGAAACAAGGTGGACACTTCCGGATTCCGTCGGTACATGGTCAGATGAGACGGCAAACCAGTAGATTTGATGGCACTTGTGTAGATCGGCTGAGATGAAGAGTGAGCATTCAATTTGGAAACAGAACGAGTGGAAGTCTCCATGATAGCTGGTGGTTCTCGAGAGGGTCCCATTAGTGACCTGGAGTGTTGTGGAGTACAGCCAGCAAAGCTCCAATGTCGATCGCGATAAGTAAAGCGGCATGAGCCAATATCTAAAAAGCAAAGGGAGGAATTGAAAAGGGAGAAAATAAAAAAGTCGACCGATCCTTCAGGGAACATTAACAGATGAGTCCGATTGGAATGGCTTACAAAGACATAGTATGAACAAGGAGCGCAAAGGAGCAACGGAGTCTGAAAAAGGACAATGAGATATGTGGACAGCAGGTTAAACATTTTATGCCCATGACTAAAAGGTGGATATGTGCTCGTTCGGTTAGAAGAAGCTTAACAGCAGCCAAAATAGAGGATCAAAAGTGGTAACAGATAGAAATAATTTGTCCAATTTGATGTAGTTTGCCTATATTTCAATTGGACCATGTAAAACAAAGTATGAAGCTGTAAATGGGGTCAACTTGTGTGCCTGGGAGCCAGTGAAAGACGGGATGCAGGTGCTAATAACAGTCGATTGTAACGGTCTTTAAGTCGAGACAAAAGAAACGACTTGCGGATTGTATACACGCACGGAAAAGCAGCCGACAGAATTCGATTCGTACGATCCGTGAGACTTAGTTAAGAGATGTTTTCTACGCGAGAACCGGATGGAGCGACCGGAACGAACACGTAGGCCAAACACGAGAGTTTACACGACCCGGAGAGAGAGAGAGTTGATGTAAAACAAGCGCATCGCAGATAGTGTTTTTACTGGTCCGGCAAAAGCGAATCCAGCGTTGCCAAGTCTTACTTATATACCGGGATTGGTGAGGTATGCGATTTTCCACCCAAAATAGTCAGCGTAAACTAAACGAAGAAAGAGAGGCGTAAGCAAGGGAATCGGTATAAAATGTGAGTGTAAACGGAACGGTTCGGAAAAGTAACTGTTTGTAGTTGTAGAAGCTGATCAAAAGACGTAAATCCTTGTAACTAACACCGGACTAGGCTGTGTTATTTAGCTTGTGAATTACTGGGATGAAAATCTAAAAAAATTACGACTAAATGCTGCTACTTACCAGTAATATAAAATAAATAGTCTCTCCTAGTTTCAAACTGTTATAGATATAGTGTCTAGTGAGAGGACGTCATCACCTAGCAGACTAACCACTGTGAGTGAGAGTGGAAGATGGGTGGTGCTATATCCCAGTTAGTCTGCAAATTGTGTAGGCCAGCCAACCACCCACATGGCTCAGTGGCTTAAGCTGCTGGCTTGTTGGCATCTGTCTCTAGTGGTTATGGGTTCGATTCTTCTTAGAGGACCGAAAGCATGCGCACCACTGACGAGTCCCAATAGGGCGAAACGCGTCTGGTGCTTTTCCGGACTAGGCTGGGTTATGTAGCTTGTGAACTATTGGGATGAAAACCTCAACAAAATTACAACTAAAATCCTGCTACTTACGAGTAATATAAAATCGGAGCCTGCCAAAAGGACGGAGTGACTGTTGCGTCGGGTTGATGGTCATGGATCTCACACTTGAATGTCGCGAAAAACGCGGACAATGAGAGGATTTCTGCAACTATAGGGGCTCGCGCTGCATCACTCATAGGTCTAGACGAACAACACATGTTAATGGGAACTCGAACGAACAGGACAGGGAGACATGCGGGCCGTAAAGTCGCGATTGAACCGGAGCTGGCCCGCACTCTCCAATGTAGAGATAGGAGGAACATACCTGCCGCAAGAACAAAAGCATGCAGACACACAGATAACACTTGTGCAGCTTCTTTGAGTTCAACGCACTAACTAACAAGCCAGATAGCACACCACGCATCAGGAGTAGCACCAGAGGTCCGTATCGTCCTATCGGAACTAGTCAGTTGTGCATATCATTCGGCCCAATCAGCAACCGAACTCAAAGCCTCGCAACACTAGAGGCATGCACCACTAGCCTGCGGCTTATGCCACTGAGCCACGGGAACGATAGTAGACAGGCATAATGTACAAGGTAAACGCTATATCACGCGTCTTATCCTCCACTACAATGCAAGTTACGAATGTGGCAGACGGCATGGTTGGCCCCCAGAGTCACGACATCCATTGACAGTGACTATGCACGACATAACATTTAGGCTGAATAGTCGAACAACCTCTTCGTGGTATCAGCTGGGTGCTTCGGGTTTAAGAAGTTCCAGCAAATAGTTCGGTGGCAGTGTTTTAGAAGGTGGTGGGTTTTCGCCTGGCAAGCGTTCTCCTTATAAAAAGCTACAAATGTCTATTGATCAACATTGAGACGTGGCGGTCGTTACTCGCCACGTGGATATCCGGATAATCCTATCCAACTCACGGACATCAATCATCTATTCTCACAGTGTCCACAGCAGCAAACAGTCAAGGATGCTGAGGCACAAATACAAGCACAAACTACACACATGCGCAACAGACATACACACCGTTACACAAACATTCACTGTTAAGGCAAACATGAAGTTTTGTACATGTTTGGTCACGCTTTGTTATCTTAATATGATCATGCCTGTAAAGGCGTGTATCGGTTCGTTAACAAAATTTTTTATTTTAAGGCAAATAATTTGATGTATTCATGAGCAGGGGGATTTCGATATAATTAGATGAGATTTCATCGTAGCAGCTTCTAAATCAGACAGTTATTCGCGTGCCCGGAGAGCCACTAGACGGCCGTATCGACCTGTTGGATTTCGTCTGTAGTGCGCATCGATCGGCTCCATCAAGATCCGAACCCATGATTACCAGCGGCTTAAACTGCCAAACAGAAGCTCATAGCACTAAGCCATGGAGAACGGTGGCAGACCGACAAGATTTACAAGCTAACTGCGATCTTATCCTCCACAGACAAGCAAGTTACTATCCTTGCAGAAGGCAGCGGCTGGCGGGATGGAGTCACGATTTCCAACAGCAGCAAGGTATGCAATGCATTGAGGGGATGTTGGGGATATATTTGATTGCTCACGAGTATGGAGATTGTTAGTAAAAGTATACAGAATTCATTGCAATTGCTTACAAGCCAGTCAACCTACCAAGAATTTGTGCATTTGAAGAGCATGAAGTAACATGAGGTAGAAATGATCAAAGCTCCAGATTAATGTGATGATTACAAAGAACAGTGCGTATCAAAATCGACGTCACTATGTGCAGGAAGATCTATCAGATAGGTGGGCACAACGGTAAAGCGAGTACGTCATGCAACTTAGCAAGAATGTGAAAAGTACCACAGACTGACAAGTACACACTTTTGCCCGCGACGCCGCTTAAACAGTCGCTGCGACGCCGCGCAGGACCACCCGTGACCTGCAAAAGATGAGGCGGTAGTGAGCGACCATTAGACGCATTCTGCCAAAAGTCAACGCGGTGTTCGTGATTCGAAGGAAACGAAGCACCACTGTTGGTGGAACGACCTAAGTTCGCTCTTAAGCTCCGTGACGGTTGCGGAATGAGTTTTGAAGCAGAAACACCGATCTCGGTTGGAATACTCTGCTGTGGAGGCGGAGGCGTCGATCCATCTGCATCCGAGTGTAGGGCATCCGGTGAGCCGGTGTTGGAGTCGCTGCAGTGTGAACCTGCGCTCAGGTCTCGGTTCATCCTGCTATCGAGAGCTGTGGTGTGAAGAGCAGAGACGGTGGGATTCGGTAGGTATGATAAGGGGGTGGTGGTGGTGATTGGAGAATGATTTGTTCCCTGTGGTCGATAAGATGGATGAGGTAGTTCATCACTGGTAGACGAAAGGTCTACTTGTGGAGCGGACAATTCGCAGAGAAGAGGCACTTCAGGCGGATGAGGATAGATGATTTGATAGATCGGAGTGACGTCGCGAGGCGATGAAGGAACCGAATCACTGTTTCATGAGAATAATAAAGAGAAGTAAAAGATTAGGAACACTAGTCCTTGATGGACAGAGTGAAGTCGAGTAGGATATACCAAGCAAGCGGGTGCAAGTTAAACACACGACCGCAAATGAACATTTGACAATATGGATAAAGCACTGTATGTTTCAAAAGAATGGTCGGATGTTCCTCAGTCGCTCGATGAATCAGGTGCACGAGTGCAGTGACACGGGAGCGCACTAACTTGCCAGCTCTCCAATGGTAGATGTTGGTCCGCAAAAATTTCGTTTACCCAGTCACAGGGTAAGACGGGTTACAGTGATGGCGAAATGCCAGGCCAGTTGGTCTGCATACTCGGTACTGGGGTTCTGACGATGGATTGACATACAGACCAAGTTCCACATGAGATGCCATACCGATTTTGGAATGCCAGGCCGACGGATGTTTTGACGATGGATGGGCAGAGAGTACAACCCACACAACTTGAATGAGAAAGGCATTCGCCGGACTGATGCAGCCCATGGATTGGTCTTGGTACGATCGATGGATACACTGCTCCGTGGCTCCGTAGGTAGCCGGAATCAATGACGGATAGCCTCAAGAAAGCTATAGCGCACCGCGATGTGCCTGTGTAAACAAGAAGCTCACGTGGGTCACATGCAGACTAACATGTAAGCAGGTGAGTGGGGTAAAGCAGGCGTTCGGGATAAGAGGGTTCCAAAGGCTAACGACCTTACAGTATGAAGTGCGAAATGGCGGTGTGGGTGGTCCCGGTACTGGACTACACGATGAGTAAAGCTCAAACTGTCAAAACTGCTAAGCGACTTGTGGTGGCCAACTAAGGTTAGGGTGCTGTGGTGATATATTATGACCCTGACCAAACAGTGGGGTCATGCAACGAAATGATGGTAAGTGCATTCACACGAAGACCGTAAACACATAGTTTGAATTTCATTACCTAGTGCGTTGGGGACCGACATTACAAACCAGTGATTGACATTCTACAGCTAGCACACTCACAGGAGGTTAACGCGGCAATCTGGCCGGCCATACTGCGTTGCCAAACTTTAGCTGATGGCTTCGCAGGTGGGTGTTATGAATGAAGTGCAGGAGGGAGCAGCAAACGTCGCTGGTATTCTTCAGGATTTAGTAATACATAATGAGGTAACGAATGTCCCGACTTCGAGCACTCCTCGAAAGCGCCGATAACGATCGTGTATAGCCCGAGGGTTTTTAACATCAGCTCGTACACAGATGATGAAGGCTCTTAACATGCTTGGATTCTCTTTGTTTCTGAGTTTAGCGAGCAGGGACACCTTGCTTCCGCCGGGGATGCCAAACCGAGATGGCATATTCTGCGCGAGGTTGCACACTGGTGACGTCTAGACCGAGTAGAATAGAAGCGCAAACAAATGTGATCACTGGCACAGAGGAGGGCCGTAAGAAATGTCACCTACAAGATGGAGTGACATGGCAAACACGAGGTTAATGTAAGAAGATCTGCGTCGTAAACACCTGACCCTGATTTGCAAGAAGCGTGTAATACAGCCTAAGGGAGCTTCAACGGTTTAATCTACCGATGTTTACTGTTAACATCAAGAGCGAGGCCTCCACCCTATCGCACAACTGAACGATCGCGCCTAAAAGGTGCCTAGTTAGATGGATGTGCTCTAGTATCCTTGATGGTCTGAGACAAACACGTTTCAGTACAAGCCAGAATATCGGGCGCATACCCATATAGAAGTAAATATAACTCGTATCGCATATGATTCTCACGTAATTGACTTTTTCTATTTAGGCAATTCTCTTAGTATCCATACTACCTCGACGAACTGTTGGCACCAGTACTCATCGCACCAAGTTAGTTGTGAAATCAATCGTTACGCAGGATATGTATATTTACATGAAGTATGAAATAAATGAGAATATCTGTAGCTCGGGGTGTGGATGGGGATTTTGAGCAGTTCTCCGAGCTGGGTAATTATTTTGCAGACGTTTCGTTGCCTGACTAGGCAATATCATCAGTGCGGCTTCAGGGGCCTGGTTCGCAGTGCCTCGTAAGCGACTTCAATGTCCAAGTGCTTATTGATCGAGTTCTGTTTTGAATGCCAGGCTTCAATGAACTCACGTGCTTGCCGGCTTTTAGCCCTTCCGAGGATACTGGCATGCTCTAGGTAGAATTGATGGTTCTCAGCATCCATATGCACTGACATCAGGGAGTTCTGGTCGTGGCGACGTATGGCTAGGCTGTGTTCGTGTAGCCTTGTGCCAAGCTTCCTCCCAGTCTGTCCCACGTAGTATTTGTCGCAGTTCCGGCAGCATATCTTATAAATCACACCAGTTTCTTCTTCTTTGCTAAGTTTATCTTTTACTTTGAAGAGTTTACTGCGAATTGTTTCTGTTGGCTGGTGTGCAACTTTGACTCCAAAAGGCAATAAAAGCCTCGCTGCCATTTCAGAGATACCGTTGATATAGGGCAGTGTTGTTCTCTTTTCAGTTGTTGCATTTGTCGAGGTGTCTCGAGCAACCTTTCCTGGTGCGAGGCAACGTAGAATGAAGACTTTTGGGTACAAGTTCCGCTTGAACAGATTGAAGAGATGATCTTCCTCTGCCCGTCTCAGCTGCGGTGTGCTACAGTGGGTTTGTGCTCGTTTGAAAAGGGTTTGCACGCAGCTGCGTTTGTGGGCTGCCGGATGATTGCTGCCGTAGTTGAGGATCTGGTCCGTATGCGTAGATTTGCGGCAGACTGTTGTTTCCAATCGTTCAGCACCAGTCCTTCGTATGAGAAGGTCTAAGAATGGTAACTGCTCGCTGTTCTCTTCCTCCCTGGTGAATTGGATGCCATCGAACACACCGTTAATTAGTTCGTGTGTTTCCTCCAATTTGGAAAGTTTGAGGATGACGAAGGTGTCGTCTACGTATCGTACCCAAAGATTTGGTCTCGCGATCGGAAGTGCTATTTGTTCCAGCGCCTGCATCACTGCCTCGGCTACTAGACCAGAGATCGGCGATCCCATTAGTGTGCCTCTTATCTGTTCGTAAATTTGGCCATTAAAAGTGAAATGTGTTGTTAAACAGAATTTCAATAACTCCATCATCTGTTTGGGTTCGAGTTCACTGTTTGTATCAGACGACATGTGCTCCTCTAGCAGGCGCGTCATTGTTTGTTTCGCCAAACCAATATCGATGGAGGTGAACAAGGCGGTAACATCGAAAGAGACCATTATTTCGTCTTGTTTAATGGTTGCGGTCTTAAGTTTCTCAAGGAACTGTTCTGCCGAGTTGATTGAGTGTTCCGATCCCGCGATTAAGTGTTTCAGCCGTCTCCAGAGCTCCTTTGCAAGCCTGTAATTTGGTGCTCCAGGTAACGACACGATGGGGCGAAGCGGCACTCCGCTTTGTGTACCTTAGGTAAGCCATAGAACCGCGGTAGTACCGAGTCTTGTGGTCGCATCCTCTTGTGTTCCAATTTTGTGATTTTCCCCATTTGTTCCAGTTTTTGCATGCCAGTATCCTCGGAAGGGCTAAAAGCCGGCAAGCACGTGAGTTCATTGAAGCCTGGCATTCAAAACAGAACTCGATCAATAAGCACTTGGACATTGAAGTCGCTTACGAGGCACTGCGAACCAGGCCCCTGAAGCCGCACTGATGATGTTGCCTAGTCAAGCAACGAAACGTCTGCAAAATAATTACATGAAGTATGTTAACCGGGTATAAAAACCAACGAAGTAATTGTTCAAAATGCCCGCCGTCGTTTTGTTTGCAGAGCAGCATTCGCAGGACGCCACTGGTTAACACTTTCTGCAAAGTGTCCACAGTGATCAAGCGAGATTCGTTGGCGATGCTCCGTTTCAGTTCTTCTAGACAAGTGGGCTTAGTTTAAAAACGCTACGTTTAAAGTACCCCATAGGAAGAAATCCAGGGGTTCAAATTAGATGACGGTGCAGGCCACCCCAATGGTCCTCCTCGACCATCCAACGATGACCGAAAGTTTCGTTTAGGTACTCATGTACAGTTTGTGCAGAATGTGTAAGTGCACCATCTCGCTGCCATCAAACGGTACCCAATAACACTTCTGCCTACAGTTGTAGAATGAAGCAGCTCTGCAAAAGTGCTTTGTAGAAAGATGCTAAGAAAGGCATTAGTTCTGTTAAAAAACAACTTACCCGTCACATTCATAGAAAAGAAAAATGATCCGATTATTTTTTGGCCTGTCAACCCAGCCCATGCCATGAGCCGTGCGCATGTTGCACACGGGAAGCGCTGCACTGTCGTGGATTATTAGTTGCCTAACATGCCGCTTATCTGCGCCACGCAGACGGAAAATTGCCTCATCCGTAAACATAATTGAATGTACGTCCAGACGTTCCTCCGAATCGCATGGCTTCAAAACTTGTACCCGCAGTGTACAATACCACCGGAATTTTCCTTCCTTTAATATCCGGTGCACAGATGGTGTGGTGGCACAATGTTGGGCGATCCTCCGAATGCTGAGGTCACTATTTCGGAATACCTCATCTACAACAGCGCAAGCTGAAACCTCATCCGTGGCGGCACGAGGCCGCCCGGTTCGTTTGGCATTGCACACGCTCCCAGTTTTAGCAACTTTTTGCACTAGCCGTCACACGTACCGGTCGTCAACGGCCCTCATTGTGTAGTTAGTAAGGTTATAACGGCCTGTAGTTTCTGCCGCATTCGACTAGCACTCACCAAAAAGTCATAGAAGAATCACGCGCTGACACACAGACAAATTACGAGACTGCGACTGCAGATAACGCGATGACATCGGAGTGTGCGCGTTCTCCATTGCTAAAACAGCGAACCATCAGAGAGCGCTGTGACCAGCTTATTAACCTGCCACAGAGCGGTGTATCCATCGATCGTATCAAGACCAATTCACGGACTGCATCAATCCGGCGAATGCATTTGTCATTAACGTCGTGCGGGTTGTTCTGTCTGCCCATCCTTCGTCAGAACACCCGTCGGATGAGACTGGCATGCTGGCCTGGCA